AGTATGAGTGGGCGCAGTCTGTGGCCGTGAGCTTGGCAAGCGTGCTGATTGCTGCTCAGTGCGATTACTTAGTTGGAAGCCTCGGCTCCAACTGGAGCCGCCTCATGAACGAGCTCCGCTCCACCAACGGCCGGCTGGGTGCTGGATTCATTGCTGATAATGTTGAGGAATGGTGACACAACATTGTGTTTGGTTAGGATACATACGAGGTGGTGGGTGATAGGGGAGTAAAGGATGTCTTGATGTTATATCTATCTGGAGTGGTTGGGTTGGGTGGTTAGCCTTTGATGAGCATTCAATTTGTTCATTCATGTAGTTCTCACATGGAGCATCATGTTGTGTATGGAGGATAACGTGCTTGTTGCTTACACCTAAAAAACGTATAAATTTGTTCAGTTATCTTGGCAGCTACTTTCACTGCAGTGATGAAATCAGTCTCATTTGCTAATCTCGAGGTAATCTGTCCGAGCTCACAATAGTGGAGCGCACTGGACAATATTTATCATCTATTTCTCATAGGTTCTCCTTCCTTCTGCTCCATCCTTCTTCCCATCAAACCGCCTCGAGCTCCCCACTTCCGCATGCGTCGCGGACAGAACAGCAATTTGTACCACATAGTCAGTGCAAAGCTTGGACACGCGGCAACTAGGAACACATTCTTCCAACAAGGCAACTAGAAGTACATTCTTCTAAGCTATCACAACAATCTGTAGTGGTCATGGCTAGCGACATGGATGACAGTCACGTAGTCGTTGCTCTCATTGAGAATCGTGCGCGAGAGGTATGAGCCGTTCGCTGTTCCACTCGCTCCGTCGCATTTTGATCAAACTGAAATGTGCCTTGCACTCGTAGGTCGGACTCACCGCCTTGGACCTGAGATCCGCAACTCTGCACTTGAATCAGTATATTGAGAGCAGCAAGTCATACCAGAACACGCTGACCTTGCTACAGTATTTCAAACCATCTGAGATTATCGTTCCAGCACGAATGGCCGATTTAGCGGAAGGCATTGGCGGAGCCATGGCTCTTGCTTCTCATTCTGCCTTCGCTGCCGCTCGTAAGGTAGGAATTCTTGCGAATTGGCCGATCCTGGTATTTTTGGCTCGCAATATTCACTGGTTTTTCCAACAGGTGACACTGGCACGTGGCTGTTTCGACGACGTCAAGGTCAGCGGCGGAACCTTCATCATAATTCCTTCACAAAGGAAACGCTTATTCTGAAACTTTTTTGTTCTTCCCGTTCAGGGTGCGTTACTTGTCCAATCTTACACCAATGGAAAAGCCAATGGGACGAACGTTGATAGGCACTACAAGGAGTATTATCTTTGCCTTGGTGCTGCATCTGCACTTCTAAAGTGGTGAGTGTGCAGAGAGGCTATATCCATGAAGGCATTTTCTAATCTTAACCCTTGTCTAGCAGGGTTGAAAGCGAGAAGTCAGCGGCAGTTATGCAGAAGTCCCTTCAGGTCACTTTCAATGGCTCCCTCAACCACTTGTCAATAGATGCTACCAGGTACAGTAGATGCGTCAGCACACACACAGATCTTAAGAAATCTCGACTGCTGACCACTTTCCCTGTGCGCAGCATACAGAATCTGGAGGTGATAGAACCACTGCCAGGAAATTCAGAAAGGGATGGCAAGAAAAAAGCCAGCCTCTTTGGTGTCCTCAATTCAACAAAGACAGTGGGCGGGTGAGCACCAGCTGCCTTTGCTTCTTGTCCAGATAATTCATAAAGAACCCTCACATGTGCTCTCTGTGCCAAGCAGGGCGCGGCTTCTTAAAGCGAATCTTCTCCAGCCATTGAAGGACAAGGAAACTATCAAATTACGACTGGATTGCTTGGTAATACGCATTGAAAGTGCTCAAGTTCTTTAGGCTCCTTCAAAAAACGCCTGAACTGAAGTGGATCACATTTGCAGGAGGAAATCATAAACAATGAGTCTCTGTACTCAGCACTGTCAAACATCCTCCAGCAATTCCCAAAAGATCTTGGTATGCTGCAAGGGGGGATGTTTGTAGATTGGTCGAAAACTTGGCTTATACAATCATAATTGTGCAGATCGTATTGTGACAAGCTTCGCATTTCGTCCACGCAAGGCTGCCGATGATGGCACAGGGAGTGCAACCACTCGGAGAAACATGGTGATTCTTTCAAGCATCATCCTCTTGCGAGAGACTCTACTTCTTGTACCCCGACTTGCTGAGGTATATGATTGTTTTTGTCTGACTTGTATTCGTCATCGTTGCTTGAAACTAACGCAATCTTTTATTGCCGTACTCTCAAGGCTTTGAGTGGTGCTAAGTGTAGCCTGCTAACAAGCATACGGGATATTGTTTGCAAGCAGCAAAGCTTTCCAGATTTGTTGAAGGAGTAAGGCGCCTTGTGCAGTTTCAACTTTCCTAATCATCCATGATTGATTGGCTTACATGGAGGCACTGATGCAGGATTGAAAGCATTCTTGATGAGGATGTCATGCATTCAAGGTCCCCGTTTATTGCTCGAACACAGCAGTGTTTTGCAATCAAGGCTGGCTTTGATGGCTTCTTGGATGTTGCCAGGCGCACCTTCTGTGCCACTAGTGAAGGTGAGGAGACTGTTCCTTTCATCAGTGTGATCCAAGATATATTTATACACTTGCGCTAATCCAAATTTTCTAATTACGTCATGCCAGCTATTCACTCCCTAGGAAAGTCATATCGTGAACAGTATTCTCTTCCAAATCTTCGACTTCCATTCAACAACAGACGAGGATTCTACATCACAGTTCCAGTTAAAGATGTGAAGGGAAAGAAGTTCCCTCCTGTCTTTCTCCAGGTATAGCGTTTTCCACTTAGTGGGATTCGTGAAGGATATGCTGTGTCTATAACTCTTGCATGACAGGTCAGCAAGAATGGAAAGAATTATCAGTGCACAACACAAGAGCTGGTGTCGGTAAGCATTGATTGCGTGTACTTGGCTCATAGAAATGGTCACGCTCTTGTAACAATGATCACGCTCTTGTTACAAGCTTGCCTCATAACAAGTACTTTGAAGTATACTTGCAGCTTAACATTCGAAATAAGGAAGCTTCAGCTGAGTGTTTTCTTCGGGAAGAGCGCTGCCTTGAAGGTGTGCATATTTCTTTAACTGATTTGACAACTATCGAGCTTGTTAGCATTGCTGCAGGTCAACGTTTCCCATGAATCTGCTGAAGCTACTGCATTCTGATAGCAGGTTTATGTCAACGAATTAGGGAGGAACTGACAGTGTTCTCTTCACTTCTGGAGAGCATCTTCCTCCTCGATATGATCACAAATAGCTTTGCATACATTGTGACAACAAACCCAGTGGACAGCTATGTCCGCCCTGAGTTCACAGGTACGTTAAGGTGATTCATTGCTACTATGTTTACTGCGATACTTATTGCATTTCTGCTCTAACTCAGATTTTGGACCTTTGGCTATTGATGGTGGTCGACATCCGATTGCTGAGGGCCTTCTCCAAGATGCCTTTGTGGTGAGCCTTGTTTGCTATTAAAATATGTTATTCGTATCACATGCGTGTTAATATTTCCCTCCATCTTACCTTGCAGGCAAACAACACGTTTATGTCAGAGGCCTCAAACGCAATGATCATCACTGGCCCTAACATGTATGCATACTGCAACTCAATTGTTGGTCAAGTACACTAATACTATGCTGAGCTCTGGTTCTCCCATGCCAGGAGTGGAAAAAGCACCTACCTTCGCCAGGTGGCTTTGCTGACTATCATGGCTCATATCGGCTGCTACGTTCCTGCACGGTTCGCATCCTTTCGAGTGGTTGATCGCATATTCACAAGAATTGGCACTGGAGAAAGCATTGAAGAGAATTCAAGCACGGTACATATCCGTGTATCTGCTTAACTTTACCGAGTGCATGATCGCTCTTCCCACTTATAATCCTTGTTTGCTTGCAGTTCCTCACAGAAATGCGTGAAACTGCTTTCTTGATGGACCATCTGACTCCAAGGTTTGTGTGTAAATCTTGTTTATTGCATAGTCAACCGCCAAGCATAACCATCATACGTTGTTTTTCAGGAGCCTTGTGGTAGTTGATGAGTTGGGATGTGCAACATCAACACTTGATGGTCTTGCGATTGCGTGGAGCTGCTGTGAGCACCTTCTCACGTTTCCTTCGTATGTGAATTGACCTTTCTGCACTGAATTCAACGTATTGTATACTCCATTTTTTTGTTCTCTGTAACCCCCATCGTGTTGTTGTGCATATTTGCAGGTACATAATATTCGCAACTCACATGAAACAGCTTGGTGAGCTGGCCTCCATTTACCCCAATTGCAAAGTGTGCTATTTCTCAGTTGGAGTCAGCAACGAGAGACTTGCCTACAAGGTATGGTCTGCAGCCCAGCATATGCAATGTTCTCATGCTTTCAAGGCTAATGTCTGAGTCATCTGGCAGTACGTGCTGAAGGAGGGATACACTGACGTGCCTCACTATGGGTTGCGGCTTGCTGAAGCGATGGGTTTCCCAGCAGCAGTCATGTCTGAAGCTCAGCGGATTGCTGACATCTTGGAAAAGCAGGTACTGTACAAACTAGGCTGTCCCTTTTGTGACTCTCCAATGCTTCCATATCTGTATTATCTCGTGGTTGGTTCGCCAGCAATCAAGGCGATTGGAGATAGGCTACAGCAAGTTTACTGCACTCCGCCGGGATTACGTTGTGGCGCAACGTCTTTTATGCTTGCAGCAGTCCAATCTCAGTGACTCAGAGCTCCAAGATTATCTGCTGAAGCTCAAAGCAAGCTACCTGGATGGTACTCTTGTGTGATCTTGATGGGTAGATTTCATTGCAGGTGTGATGCATTGTGAATGCAACACCAATAGAGGACGTCATCAACAACTCTACTGTACAGTTCCAATGCATAATAATAATTTCACCAGAGCTACAATAGCCTTGACTGAGCAATAGCTCAGAGGATTGGTGCACCGCCACAAATTATTGAGAGCATTGAATTTGCTATTCAGCACCATCAACCAAGCTGGGCTTGCAGCAAACATCCAGAACAACATGCCGAATGTGTGGCGCATACCATTTCACCCGCTCCAAGTGCATTGCCTTCACTTCCCAGCTTCTCCCCTCCTCTCTTGCCAGCTTTTCGAACTCCCCCACAACATAGTCAGTCCACTGCTGCTCCTCCACATCAACTGCATTCCCATGCACATGCGCAACACCCCCTTCCCTTGGCTTCAGGCAGCGAATCGCAGTCCTCCAGCTGGCCTCACTCGAAGGAATCAAGCCCAGCAGCACCCGATCAGCAACCCCCACTGGGGCAACCACCCTGTTATCCCCCTCCAGCACAGTGTAGCGATCTGGCGAAACCTGATTGGCTGCGAGACTGGACCGGAGGCCGTGGACAGCCGCAGGGTTCCACTCACAGGCGAACACGTGGCGGGCACGGGAATGCACAAGCAACGGAATTGTGAAATACCCAATCCCAGCAAAAAGATCTACCACCACTTCCCGGTCATGAAGCCTGAGTGCGGCCATGCGCTGCTTCTCAGTACCATTCCCAGACGAGAACATGCACCTGGCAGCATCGAATGTGTACTTGATGCCATTCTCTCGGTGCTCCACCCACGAGGAGGACCCCAGCAGCAGCTGCAGCCGGCTGTCTCTAGTCAATGTGGGTGCCACAGGCGCCTGCATCAACCCAGTGTGAGACAGAAAGGGGCACCGGAGAAAGAGAACGAGAAGGAGAGAGAGATGCTGGTTAAAGCAAGAGCAGTGACTATTGCCCAGCAATCTGCCCTTCCAACTTTTACCCAAAATCGAAACTGTGGGAAAGGTGCCAGTCTCACCTGCCGGGCCACTCTTGCTGCTCCAAGAGCCTTGGCAACAACCTGCCAGAGCTCCGGTCCGAGCCTGTCCCAAGCCTCCCCGAGCATGGCATCAGCTGGCAGCACCACCATGTCTCCCAGCCGCTCCCAGCGGACCGGCAGGTGAGAGAGAAGGGATAAGTGAGTGGCAGTGGGTTGACTGTTCTCTGAAGAATTGAGCTGCTTTGCCTTGAGGTGAAGGAGAGAGTGGATGGCATGGTGGAGGCGCTGAAAGGGAGTGAGAGGGCGAGCAGGTGAAGGGGAGAGGTGCAGCTGTGTGAGCACTGCGGCTGCTGCTGCTGCTGCTGCTGCTGGCTGTGATGCTGCTGGCTGTGATGCTGCTGTATTCGATGCTGCTGGCTGTGATGCTGCTGTATTCGATGCTGTGGCTGACATGCCCCCTAAGTCTGCTGCTACAGCCTCAACTGCTGTAGGCTGCTGCTCTTGTGCTGGTCCTGATACAGCTGTTGACACTGGTGCTGCTGGCACTGACACCGTTGGTGGTGCCATGCACACACCATCCATGGCAGCAATGGTGCTAACAGCAGACTCGCACACAGGCAGCGCCAGCAGCAACTCACCACCGTCACCAGCAGCAGCACTTGACCTCCTAGCACTGACATGTGATACTTCGGGATTGACATCAGGGTTCACTGTGGCTGGCTTGCGGGTTTTGTCTAGAGCGCCACGTGTCTGTAGCGCATCCTTCCACCGCTTCCCCTCCCTCCGTGGAACCAGCAACACCCACCCCAATCCTCCCTGTGACTGCCGAACGAGATCCCGATCCTGAGCCTGTTGCTCCTGTCGTTCCTGCTGCTGCTCCTGTTGCTGCTGCTGCTGCCCCTGCCGCTGATGGCTAGCATATCCAATCTTTCCTTGAAGAATTCCTCTCAGAGGGATCACAAAAGGAGGGCTAAAGACCGATCCAAATGCAAAGCAGGCAGCACCACCCCCCAGCACTAGCAGCCTGTCCCCTACAGTAGAGCCTCCGATTGCACCCCCCCCTGCCAAGGAGCCCCCCTTCACTACACTGGCAGTGTGGCGCACAGGCAGAGCAGCAGGAGGCAGAGAGACGGGGATTCGAGACACCTCATTGGATGCGGTGTTCACTAGAACAATTTCCGGGCCTGCCCGGGAATGTGGGCAGCCCCCAAAAATCAGAAGGTGCTGCCCGTATGTGGTGAGGGAGTGTGAGAACCGTTCAGGGATCGCGACTGGGGCAGAATCCCAAACCTTGGTCCAACGAACATGCAATCTGTTGACATTCATACCACTACTGTTGCTGATATTGCTGTTGTTGCCACTGTTGCTGCTGCTTGCTGCGGGTTCCATTTGCGGGTTTCGAGGCGCCTCGCAGTCCCCAACAGCCGGATCGCTGCTCACAACCTCAAAAAAGAAGAGATCAGAAAATACCCTCTGGGAGTCTCGCCCTCCAAAAAGATACACCTGGGTACCGACCGTAGCCATGGCATGGGAGTGGCGAGGAGCAGGCATCTGCCCGGATGCCACGGGGTCGGGCAGCCAGGAAAAAGACCGGGCGGAAAAGACCTGAAGGGAGGTGAGGGGAGGGGCGTGGGGATGGGACGTGCCTCCAAAGACAAAGACCGATGACCGCAGTGCTGCTGCTGCATGGCGATACCTTGCCACGGGTGCACCTGTAGCAGCTGTAGCAGCAGTAGCATCTGTACCAGATATAGCAGCAATTGCTTCTGGTAAAGCAGGGGTAGTAGCTGTAGTTGCAGTTGCTGCTGTAGCCTCTCCAGACGGTGCCTCTGGTGCTGCTGTATGGCGCCACGTCATGGAGCGGAGATTGAGGGAGAAGACATCAGCGAGGGCAGCTGTGGGACCATGCCTGCCTCCTAACACCACCATCTCCTCCTCCCCCTCTTCCCCCTCCTCCCCCTCCTCCCCTTCGCCCTCCTCCTCCTTTGTCTCTCCTCTATCACTCGCCTCACTACTCTCTGCTCCCTTGGCCTCCGCTCCGCTCCCGCTCACCGCTCCCCTCCCTTGCCCCACTCTAACCACAGTGGCAGTGTGCCACATGCGAGGGCTCGGCCCGCTTCCCCTTGTTTCCACAACACGCCCTTCCACCATGACCCCCCCCTCCCCTTCCCGCTTGCTTCCACCCCCTCCCGCCACCGCTCTCCCTCTCATTGTTACCACTACCACGTCCCCTCGCCTGCTGTGCACCCCACTCCCCCCGAACCCTCCAAACACCACCACGGCTGTCCCTGCTGTCTCTCCTCTTGCTTTCTCTGCTTCGGACGTCCCTGCAACTACTGAACCTCCATCTGTTGCTCCAGCCCCTCCTGCGCCTACAGCTCCCACAACTGCGCCCACAGCTCCCACAACCGTCACAGCTGAATGGCCCCACCGCAAAAGGCTGCCTTCGGGCAGACCCAGAACCTTTACCACCTGCCCACGCAGCTGCCCGCCCTGTGCCTTGCTTCCTGGCAGGAAGAATCCATCCAATCCATGAGCTGATTCTTCTGATTCTTGTGATGCTTGCGTTTCTTGTGATCCTGTGGGCATATCCCATGCGCTGCTGCAGCAACCACCTGCCACGTCCTGCAATGGGTACGGCGCCATGCATGCACCTGCACCTGCGCCTGCCAGTGCGGGATGCCCAGAGGCCCCTGTGGAAGCAGGTTCAGGTGCTGTCAGAGCGGTGCAAGGCGGTGCCTCCCCAACCACACCACCTCGTAGCAGCTCCAGCACCCGCCTCTCCACCTCCCCTACTCTCCGCAGCACTGCCACCTGGCGTTGTGCCACCTGGCGTTGTGCCACCTGGCGTTGTGCCACCTGGTTGCCCTGCTGCTGCGCCAGCTGGCCATTCGCTGCCTCTTGCTGGCCTTTTGAGCTGCGCCGTGCTGCTTTTCTAGGATGAGACTTGGGCGTTGCGTGTGGGCTGTGTGTTGGGTTGAGTGGTGTGGGTTGCGGTTGGGATGGTTGGGGTGGAGGATGGGAGAGGAGGGAGCAGCTGCACTGCAGCAAGGGAGGGGAGAAGGGAGGAAGGCGGTGGGAAAAGGGTGAGGAAAGTGACAAGTGGGAAAGCAAAGGTAAGCGGGAAGGAAGTGGAAAACAAGAAAAGAAGGGTGGGGAGGATTGGCTGTCCCCTTGCCACGTGAAAGGAGTGTTTTGAGACGTCTCAAGGGTGGGGAGGATTGGCTGACCCCTTGCCACGTGAAAGAAGGAGTGTTTTGAGACGTCTCAAGGGTGGGGAGGATTGGCTGTCCCCTTGCCACGTGAAAGAAGGAGTGTTTTGAGACGTCTCAAGGGTGGGGAGGATTGGCTGTCCCCTTGCCCGTCAGCTCGTCCCCACCTGATCCCACTCGCCCCTACCTACCTACCTACTACCCACCCCGTCCCCCCTCACCCCTCACCTCCTCCTTGAACCGCGCTCGGAACCGCTCGGTGCGTTCATGGTTGGTTGAGAGCTATGTTGTCATTGGTTGGCCACCGCCACTTCAAGCACCATCACCCTACCCAGCTGGGCTGACCCACTCCCACCAACCCCCACCCACTCCCACCCACTCCCACTCACTGTCACCCACCCCCACCCTTCCTCCTACCCGCCCTCACCTCCTCCTTAAACCGCGCTTGGAACCGCTCGGTGCGCTCGCGGTTGAGCGCCATCTTGCCGTTGGCCACCGCCGCCAGCTGGCGCACGTACGCCTCGCCCACCAACGGCACACCGCCAGCCGTCAGCGGTGTCTCGAGGCGGATGGAGCAACGGACGGCCGTGATGATGCGCTTTGCGCTCACACTGGTGATGCCTGGAGGAGGAGGGGGGGGGGGTGGGGGTATTGGGCGGGAAAGGGGAAGAATAAAGGGGAAGAGGGGGAACGAGCGGCCCAAAGCGAGGGTCGTGAGGGCACCACCCAGAACCCGCCCAAACCCCAAAACCCAAACTCCTAGTTCCAAGCCAAGCCCTCACCTGACTCCCGAAAGCCTGCGCGGATGGCGCAGGACACGAGGGCCTGCGCGGCGACGAGGGAGCGGCACTCGAGGGCGAGGATGAGCGGCTCGAAGCGAGAGACATGAGGGTATGTGACTTATACCCCAAACCCCGAAAGCCAAACCCCGAAACCCTTGCTTCCATTCCCTCACCTGATTCTCTGAAACCCGCGCGGATGGCGCAGGACACGAGGGCTTGAGCGGCAGCGAGGGAGCGGCACTCGAGGGCGAGAATGAGCGGCTCGAAGCGAAACACCAGCTCGCCGGGGAGAGCGGGCGGAGATGCGCAGGTGACGGGGGTGATAATGCTGCTGCTGGCGCTGTTGCTGTTGCTGACGTCGGCATCCGCGTGGGCAGTGCTTGTACTGAAGACGGCAGTAACGAGGTCGGCAGGATCGATGGGGTCATGGCTGACCAACAGCCACTCGCCGCCCTGCTCGTGGCGCGGGTAGGGGAGAGTAAAGGGGGAATTACGATGGTATTAGGGGAAGTGTGGAGGGCTGTATTGTTAGGGAGAGGATGCATGCAGTGCTTGCTTGCACGCGCTACATCTCCCGCTCCTGATGTCAGAGATTTGTGAGAAGTGTGGAGGGCTGTATTGTTAGGGAGAGGATGCATGCAATGTTTGTTTGCCTCTCCCTCGGGAGATACGCGAAAGCTTGCTTGCACGCGCTGCGTCTCCCGCTCCTGATGTCAGAGATTTTGTGATTTTTTTTCGAGAGATTTTTAGGAATCGCATGTGCGGCGGCGAGCCTACTCGCCCCCATGAGACCCACCCTCGCTTTCTTCTTCACTCGCTTCGCCGCGCCCGCGCTATCCGCCGCAACTCCTTCCCCTCCTCTTTCTATTTCAGCAGTAGCAGCACCGGCGGTGCCGGCGCCAGCACCACCAGAAGCAGCAGGAGCGGCTGCGGCAGTGGCGGTGGCGGCGGCGGCGGCGGCGGCGGCGGCGGCGGCGGTGTCATGCGGTTCGAGGAGCAGCGAGATGCGGCCGGAGCACGAGCTGGTGGTGAAGAGATCATCGTGGCCGTTGATTTCCGCCACCAGATCCGCGATCGGCGCATCCAGGCCGCCCTTGAGCGACTTGTCGCGCTCCACCGACGCCAGCGCCGCCAGCACCGCCGCCTTCCGCGCGTCGAAGCCCTCGTCGGCCATCGCGGGGAGAGATGCTCGCGATGCTCGCAATGCTCGCGACAGTCGAAATAGACGTCTACCAAGTGACAAGACGCCCTCGCTGCTTCGTATGCTAATTAACAAGCCGCCCTGAGCGCATTGCCTACCAAGCATACACGTGGGTGGGAGATCGGACGGTGGTGACAGGAGGACGGGAGTGTCGGTGAACTACAGGCAACTGAGCACGGCGGCTCGGGGTTTTAAAAATGGTTTGGATTCTGTGTGTTTCGAGGGAAAATAATTTTCTGCAATAACCTCCCTCCTTGGAAACACACCACTTAGCATTCTGGAACGCCTGTAACCGTACCGAACCGTACTAGAATATGATCGGCTTGCGGCGGCCTAAACTCGGTAACACAGCAATCTATTCTTGCCATACTCATCACCACTCTGCGCCGTAGCAAACCAGCTAGCACCCTTTTGTACAACCACGGGTGACAAGTGCCTGCTTACTTCCTGGCACTTTTTCGCAGCGACCATTCGTTGCGGCTGTCCTTCCGCCTTCCGCCTTCCGCGTGGACTCGGCGTTTTCAAGCGACGCAATAGTCCTTCCCGCCTTCACTATGGCCTCCGCCCCTCCTGTGCGCGCGGAACCATGGACTCCGCCGCTGCCCGCTAAACCCGCACTCCCCCCTTCCGCGCCTCCCCCTTCCGCTCAACCAGCTCCGCCGCTCCCCTTCCATCTCTGGCGGCGCCGCCAGCAGCGCCGCGTGCGCTCCGCGTTCTCCGCCGCGTCTGGCGCGCGGAAGCAGTGGGATGCCGCCTCGGCGGACGGGCTGCGCGCGGCGACAGCTGTCGTGAACCGATTGGTGCAGCTGAAGTGAGTCCAGGCGTCGCGGTGAAGAGTATTTTAGCGAATATAACCATATCGAGTACAGACGATGAGCGATGAATTATGTAGCACAGTTTATGGCGCTGATGTAAATAGGTGCTGAACATACCCGGGATCCGCTCCACTTTCCCTCCACTTTCCCTCCACTCCTCCCCACTTCTCCCCACTCCTCTCCACTCCTCTTCACTCCTCTCTGACTGCGCGGCCAGCTACCCAGCAAGGACATGGGGGCGTTGGGGGGCATGGAGGGCTTCGTGGGCAGGGCTGCGATGAAAGCATGCCTTGAGATTTACTCCTCTCCACTCCCCTCCACTCCTCTCCAATCCTCTCCACTCCTCGCGCAGGCAGCTACCTGGCAAGGACCTCGGGGCGGTGGGGGGCATGGAGGGCATCGTTGAGAGGGCAGCAGAGAAGATCCGACGCATTATGGTGCTCATGCTACAGGGACTCGTTTTATTGTGACTCGTTTTAGTGTGGCTCGTTTTAGTGTGGCTCGTTGTAGTGTGAATTCCTTTACTGTTTATCGTAGTGCTAAAATTCAACCAGCGGTTTTCTTCCCCACACCTTCCCTTCCCATTCTCGCTCTCTGTCATCCCTCACTTGCTCCCTTTCTTCTCCACCCCTCCCGTCTCCTCTGTCTTCTCCTCTTGCCCCTCCATCTTTCCTCTCTCACTCATCGCCCTTCTCATTCTCCTTTCCACTGCGCCACGCGATGCATTGCCGCAATGGCCCATCAGGAGGAGGATCTATGCACGCTGCGCCGCTGCTTGAATGACCTCGTGAGTTGACGGGGAGGGGGGAAGGGGAGGAGGGAGGGATAGACGAGAGCTCGAGAACTTGCAGTTACCTTTCGCTCCCCATTTGCCACAATCTCCCCATGCCCCCCCCCCTCACTCACTCCTTTCCTACCATCCCCATTCTCTCTGCTTCCCCATTCACTGCACGCCTTGACGTCATCTGCTCTGCCCCTGCTGGCTACACTTTCCCGCAACCAGGCCCTTAGTCTCTCCACTTCTTCCCTCTCTTCCTCCCCTTCCCCCTCGCCCTCATCCTTCCTTCAGGCTGCAGCAGTCGACGCCCTCGTCCCTGCCCTGCTACCCATCTACCCGCCCCCCCACATACCACCTCCCCTGCATGCACCTGACACAACGGCCCTCCCCCCAGCAGCACCTGAATCCACAGTTGCGCCCTTCACTTTTGCCACCTCACTGGCAGCGCCTGTGCCATTGTCAGCAGTGTCAGCACCAGCACCAGCAGCAGCAGCAGCAGCACCATCGCCATTTCGAGCATCAGCAGCTTCAGTGTCACCCTCCCCCTCAGCTGGAGTGTGGGATGCATATGAGGTGTGGCAGGAGGCATGGCAAGAGAGAGACATGTACCCTGACGAACCCATCTTCACCGCTCTCCGTCTCTCAGTTTTCGGTTCGTTGCCTTTCGCAGCAGTTCCTCATCGGCTTGTCCCCTATTCATGTTCTTACCTCCCCTTGCTCATCTCACCTCCCCTTGCACCCTGTCAGCTTTATGCTCTCTCCTTGATGCAGGCCTCGTTTGTCATTAAGCATACTCATATCTTCTCTCAATCTCTCCTCACACACCCCCCTCCTCACACATCTCCCTCCGCACAAATCTCCCTCCTCACACGTGCGTCAGAGAGGTGGGCTGGGGACGTGGCAGCTATGTTTCGCAGAGAGCTGCTGGTCAAGGTGAGATGGATGAAAACGCTTAGCTAAGCAACCTCTGGTGACGGCCGGACGCACAGATATACTTAAGCATGTTGCAACCACCTTCGCATCTGTGCAAAAAAAATCCTTGTTTCCCACTCTGCACGCAATGTTTTCTGTTGTGCTCTTCACTCTCAACTCGGGTGTCGTTCTAATCTGTATCACGATAGCATCACTATCATCTCACAGTTCCTCCTTCCCCTCTTCCTCATGCATCCCTCTTCCTCATGCATCCCTCTCCTCCCCACCAGCGTCTCATACTCTCTTCACTCAACTCAGCAGTCAGACATGAAGCCGCCACCACCACCACTGCACGCACCACCACCACCACTCCAAATACCTCTCTAACCTCCCAAAGCCCGCTTAAACACCCTCTCAACATCCCTCCACTGTGCCTGCCATGCGCCGCCTCGCCACCTGCCACTGTGCCTGCTCCCAAAGCTGATGCCACTCTTGATGCAAGTGCTCTTGCTGTGGAGGAAGGAGCGAGCCCAGGCGAAACGGTGGAAACAGGTGGAGGCAGGTTGGAAGCAGCAGGAGCAGCAGGAACAACAGGAGCAGGCAGGGCAGCCACATCACGAGACGAGGACGGCCGTGAGACACCAGCGGCAACAGAAGAAGAGGCTGCGAGCGAGGCAGCAGCGGAGGGAGAAGCACCGGGTTGTTTGCAGGGAGAGGGAATTGGGACTGGTGGGGGGGATATGGAGACAGGGATTGGTGGAGAGCGCGGGGCAGGAGGGAATGGGGGGCGTGGTCAAGGAGGGAGTGGCATGCTGGAGGGGCAGAATGGATTGAAGGGACAGGCATGGGCAGAGGGACGCGGACTGTCACACGGGCTTAGTGCAGCAGAGGGTTGTGAGTGGGCGGTGGTGCAGCAGCAGTTGGAGCAGTCAGGGCTGCTTGCCCGCTCGCCCACACCTCAACAGCTCCAGGTGAGCTGCCTTGTGTGCTCTTGGGGGATTTTTTTAAACTTCTCAAAAGTGACTCAAACAGTTGGGGCTACTTTTCCACTCGCCCACACCACAACAGCTACAGGTGAGGTGCCTTGTGAGCTCTTGGGCGATTTTGTTTCCTCTGAATACGCACAACCCTCACACAACTGCAGAAGAGCACGTACCTTTGCATTGTGTTTGATCCAACCAGTCAGTGGGTGGTTCTGTTATTATTTTGCACATCACGTTTTTGTCTGTGCTTGCTTGCCTGCTCTGTGGCAGGTGTGTGTGGTGGCGTGGCTGGTGGAGATGCACATTGACTGTTTCGCGCTATCTAGTTTGCACTTGACAATAAATTTGCACACGATACCTCTGTGTTTGGTTTCCTCTGTGCGTGGCTTCCCCCCGGCAGGTGTGTCTGGTGGCATGGCTGGTGGAAATGCACATTGACTCTCGGTGTCTCTCTTCCATCTTTGCTGCTGTAGATGAGGAAGTGAAAAGTGTAGCAGCGTAACTGACTGCGGACTGGCTCGTCATGATTCTCTATTGGGTCACAATTTAAAATTTACAACTTACTTGCCCCTTCTACTTACCTCTCCCAACTCTCAACCCTTTAACTTCCCAAACTGCTATTCTTACATGAGTTCATGCATTTTCTGTGAACAGCAGTACGCAAAGAGCCGCTGAGTCACAAATAACTGGCCGCATTGCTGGTTGCTGTTGTGCAGATTAAAGAGCAATGCCAGTTGCATGCTTGACTCTGTAATAAGCATGTAGAAAGTGTGACTTTCTACTCAATATTTGCTGACAATGTATTGTTCACACACATTTCCAGAAGGCTGCTGTAGTGATTTCGTTATTTGTAACGAAGATGCATATCACACGGATTTTCTGGAAACCTCATTGTTGGGAAAATAAACGCATGACTTAGTGCGTTTCTGTAGTATCGAACCTCACCCGATACTGAAGCACAACAAAAGGAGTACGAAGTCGAAAAGGCGCGTACCACATCAAACCGCAACTAGAGGTTGCGAGCTGTAACCGCCTGGAGGTTACGTAACAGCAAGCGACGCTTCAGTGAACAGTAACCACCTCGATAGTCAAAGCGCTACGCGTCTCGATAAACATAACCGTTCCTTGTAATCTATCTTTTCTATATATTCCTGTATGCCCTTTACTTTAATCAATTACTTGTTCTCACATACCAGCACAAGTACATTCACTCAAGACTTCCGCTGTGCTACTCTAGCACTTACTAGCCTATTCTCTGCAAAGATCCTAAGGCTGAAATTCTCAGCCCAACATGGTATGAGAGCAGTCAGAGAACAAAGGCTCTCGTCATTAAGCCTCTTTCAGGCTACCAATCTGCAAACGACCAAGAAGTTCAACCTTCACTCAAGAAAGGCAAGACATGGCAAGTGGCAAAGAAAGAAGATCATCTACGGGATCTACTCTACCCCCGGTCTCCGAGTTGCAGACCGAAGGAGGAACAACGCCCGGATTAACACCGGAAGCGACGGAACGCTCCACTCAAGCACCAGTGGCGCCGCCAATCTTCAACCCAAGCCTAATGGAGGAGTTCTTCAACTTCATGTCGCAGCAGCAGTCCTCACAACCTGCAAACAGCAACAGCGTAAACAACGGAGCGGCACCAATGAGTATTGACAACTCATCGTTCGGACGACACAATCAACAAACACCAAATTCGGTCTCACCTGGTTCCTTCACGTTCATGCCGCCCCGCCATCCAGCGACTCCTCTTCCCGCCATCAAACGAGACCCCGAAGAAGTCCTGCAAGTACAAGCACAGTTCAACAACATCCTACGATTGCACACATCCACACCATTCAACGGGAAGGACTTCTACTCTTGGAGCTTCGAATTTGAACTCCTGATGGAAGGCGCGAATCTTCTTGGCTTCTTCAACGGTACCTGGCCATATCCACACAACGGCGAAGACAAGGACAAAGAAAATTATACGTATCACTCCCTCATGGCTTACACCGTTCTTCTCCGAAACCTGTCGCCGAATGAACAACAAAGCATCCGCGCCTACCGGAACTACGCAAACTCCGCGGAACTCGCTTATCAACATCTGCGAAGTATTCATCAAGCATCCGACAGCGTTACGCAAAGCCGACTCATGGCACAACTAACAACAGTTCAAATGCAACCTGGAGAAAAGGCCATGCCTTACATCAGTCGCTGTCAAGGACTACGCGACAGACTCATTCGCTGCGGAGGAAACTTATCTGAAGAAGCTTTCGTAACCGTCGTTCTTGCCGGCCTTGGACCTCAGTGGCGCACCACCCGCTCACTTCTTCGCGCTCACGGTCGACTCTCCGAAATGCATCTCTGCGCCGAACTTCACGCCGAGCAGCAGGAAATGGACCTGTTCGAAGAACGCAACAACAAAAGGCATCATCAACCAATCGTTCTTTACACCAATCGACGACAGCCACGCTACCAAAATCGAGGACACGTACCTCCCTATTGTCATCTTTGTCGGACTTCAGGACACACACGCTTCAACTGCCCTCAGCAACAACGACAACCAGCACCATTCTCTCGTCCTCTGCGACCAGTGCCTCCCCACATCGCGTCAACTCAACAGCGACCCGCTACCGCCTCAACGACTACTTCAACACGACCGTCAACCTCCACTTCGGGACCTGCACAGACACCAAGAATCGTCGCCATGGCACGAACAACAGAGTCAAACATCGACTCGTGCATTACCGGCTCTCCACCAACTTACAGTCCTGATGAGCAACCATCACCACCACCATCGTCCCTTAACGTGAATCCAACGTACGCCGCCATCGCGAACCGTGCACCCACCGGACCAGACACATGGTTCCTCGACAGTTGTTGCGGTCATCACATGTGCTCTTCATCACGATTTCTTCAGCGCGAACGACGTCTTCCGCGAGACGTCATCATCACCATCGCCAACAACGAAAACCTGCGCACCAACAAACAAGGAGTCGTGGAGCTTCAGTCAAACGAAACAAACGTTATTCTTCAATTAAACAAAGTACTCGTCGTCGACAACCTCGGCTTTAACTTACTGAGCGTCAGCCAACTCATGTCGAAAGGCGTTCACCTGGAGTGCGACTCCGACGCCCTGGAAATCCGTCTTTACCACGGAAAAGGGGGGGTCTTCATCGGCCGTGCAATCCAACAAGATGACGTGTTCGTCCTCGACTTCGTCCCCGACAAAGGCACCGCAGACAGCGACGGTATAGTCGCTCTCGCACCTTGGACGCATCCGCCAGACCTCGACCCGAACTTCAGTCCTGAAGGCTTCTGGTACTCTCGTACCATTCCCGAAGCTGAACGCACCAACGCGCTTGCCGTCCTGCAAACACAAGCCACAACACCTGAGTCAGCACCCGTCATCGAAACAACAACTGCACCCGTCACAACACCAACAACCTCCGAACCTGCAATTGAAGAACCAACCGTCGTCGCGGAACAACCTACCGAAACTCTACAGCTCGGTCCCTCCGTCGCACCTCCACCTCTCATCATCGACACGCCACCGACAGCCGCCCAACAGTTAACGCCAGCACCACGCGCCGTCCATCGAAGTGCAGCAACTCACGCCGCCTTCTTCGCTAACGCAGACTTCTATCGACGCTCCGTAGGTCACAGCGCCTCCGAAGACATATGGCATCAACGTCTTGGACATCCTGGAAACACAACACTCTACAATACAATACGAGCCGGAGTGTTAGATAAGAACGCCCTACTTCTTCCCAACGGACGAGAACTCGAACGACCACGCGGCACCTGCTTCATCTGCCCGGAAGCAGATCTGCCTCACCAACCGTTCCCGTCACACCACAATCCGAGCGCCCCCGCTTATCAACCACTCGAGAAAGTCTACAGCGACATACTATACATACCTCGAACGGAAGGACGTGAAGATCTGAACTACGTCATCACCTTCATCGACGCCGCAACGCGATATGTCTGGCACGTCAACTTACCGTCACGAGACATGGCTCTAGAAGCCTTCACAGCCTGGCTACCTGTTGCTGAAAGAGAGTCAGGAGCGAAACTGAAGAGTTTTCAGTCAGATGGCGCAAAGGAGTACCAGTCAAACAGCTTCACACAGTTCTTGGCAGAAAGAGGCATCAAACGCCTCATCTCTCTTCCTTACGCTCACCAACAGCAGGGTGTGGCAGAAAGGATGAACAGGACCCTGCAGACAACCATGCGAAAGCTGCTACGTGGAACTCGACTGCCCAACTCAGAATGGCCAGCAGCGATGGACCACGCTGTCCTCCTGCACAACTTGCTGTCCTCGTCATCACTGCCCAACAACGCATCTCCGCACCTGTTGTGGACTGGGAAGCTGGGCAACACAAAAATGTTACGAGTTTTTGGGTGTATGGTACAGTACCGCCCACACACTGCACGCGCAGGGAGATTCTCGCAACGTGCACAGTGGGGTCTACACCTCGGGCTGGCAAAATATTACGAAGCATGGCGAATCTTCGACGTCCACACAAAGGAAACAGTAGCAGCACGTGACGTTATCTTCTACGAGCGACTCACCCTCAACCATTACCTGGACAACATCGCACGCCACGTCGACCCCACCGGCGGATTTTCTGGTTCCCGAGCCTTTGCTTCACCCTCTGATGCTGCTGACTGGGAAGAAGAGAACGTCGATGGCGCTTCCGAAGCTGCTGGACCCCTTCCTTACTGCTCCGTCCCAATCCCCATGGACGAGGAAAACCCTCGCGACAGTAACAATGCCGACGCCTACTACCATTTCGCCGACAATGGTTACGTAACACCCCAACCCGTCAACACCGACATCTCTGAGAGATACGGCCCCGGATTCGCACCTGATCCTGAAGCGGGAGACGAAGCAGTCTATCCCGAGGACCCTTTGCTGAATCGTCACACCCCCAGCGGACTCCAAGTCCTGGGACTCGTCGCTGCAGTGCACGGGACTTCGTCGCCACCTGAAGAGCCTCGCTCTGTCAAGCAGGCTCTGGGGGGGGAACACAAAGAAAAATGGCGCGAAGCCATGGAAAAGGAGTTAAAAGCGCTCTCAGACCGCAACACCTGGAAGATCGTCCCTGCATCACTCGCACAAGACAAACCCATTCTCTCCGGAAAATGGGTATTCCGGATCAAAACCAACTCCGACGGAACCATCGAACGGTTTAAAGCTCGATGGGTCGTCCGCGGATTCGACCAAGAGTATGGTCGCGATTTCACTGAAACCTTCGCACCAGTCAGTCGACATACTTCCCTGCGCATACTTCTCGCCATCGCCGCCTCACGCCGCCGCCCACTCCGACAAATCGATGTCGCCAACGCCTTTCTATACGCCCCAGTCGACGCTGAAATCTTCGTCGAACAGCCCCACGGGTTCGTCGACGACCCTTCCCTCGTCTGCCAACTACTAAAATCACTATACGGAATTAAGCAAGCACCGCGACTCTGGCAGCAGTACCTGCACGCACGACTCAAACGCATCGGATTCAACCA